CTTAAGGCACTGGGCATTTGCTGGAATACGATAACTGACTCTTTTCTGTTGAACATTCTACAAAGTGTACTCAAGATGAATGACCCTGAAATGAAGAGAAGTCTTTTGAGTATTGCGTCGAGGATATTTGACCCCAGGGACTACTCACCCCGTTCACAGTTATAGCTAAGATCTTGTTTCAAGATCTTTGGCAGAGAGGGCTGAGTGGGAGGATCGGCTTGATGAAGAGGTTGCTGCTCAGTGGTGATCCTGGAAATCGGAACTCCCTTGTCTAAGTCACATAACTATTCCTCGCCACTTCATGGCAAATGGAAGATCAATCATTGAACTTCACGGGTTTGGTGACACTTCGCCAAAAGCTTATGGTGCAGCCATTTACATCCGATCTATGGATGCTGCTGGCAAGGTTTCAACCCACCTAGTTATGTCCAAATCAAGAGTTGCACCTACAAAAACTGTCTCGCTTCCAGGATTAGAGTTGCTTGCAGCTGTTATTAACTCATGGCTACTGAAGTTCCTTGCAGCATCTTTGTGTCTCAAACTAGACCGGGTGGTGTGCTGGACTGCCAGCATGGTAACCCCACAGTGGATCAGGGGATCAAGTTCCCAGTGGAAGACATTTGTGGCGAATCGTGTCGCTGAAATTCAGTCCACCTGGGATCCTCAACACTGGAAACATTGTCCTGAAGAGGACAATCCGGCTGATCTGATTACCCGCGGATTGTTATTAAAGGTCTTAGCTGAAAACAGCCTATGGTGGAATGGGCCAAAGTGGTTGGCTTCAAACTGTTGGCCAACTGAAAGGCAGGGAAATGCAGAGTCTTCTGAGATTGTTGAAAGGGAGAGGAAGCCGAAACAGGTGACAAAGCATACATGTGCTGGACTTGCCAAGGAACCAATAACTGATGCCTGTCGATATGAGAAATGGTTGACCCTTATTAGAGTAACCGCATACGTGCTGCGATGGGTTTGAGTCTTCAAATCTGGAGAAAGCTCAGCATCAAAGGAACTGTCAGCTGAAGAGCTGAAAAATGCCAAGCTGAACTGTTATCATCAAGTTCAAAGAGAAGTGTACCGAATCGAGTATGCACAGCTGGAGGCAGGCCAACCATTACCCAAAACCAGTACTATCTTGAAGTTGAATCGTTACTTTGACAAGGAAGATCGGGTGTTACGAGTAGGAGCAAGGCTGCAATATTCCAATCTTCCAGAGGCGACTAAACATCCAATCATCCTGCCACATGGCCATCCAGTTGTCGAGAAAATTATCCAGAGTGTTCACAATGAATTACTTCATGCCGTGCCGTGATCTGTCAACCAACGCATTCTTCCAGGCTTTCAACCGTATGATCAGTTGGAGGGGACTTTGTAGTACCATTTGGTCAGAGAATGCCAAGACCTTTAAGTGTGCAGATCACCAGATTCGAAAGCTTTACAAGTCACAATCATCTGACAGTGATCAACCCTGGAATGACAGAGATCAAGATGAGCTCCAAGCTAAATTGGCGTGGTGGCTGGTGGGAAAGATTGATATGGAATGTGAAGGAGCCTCTTCTAAAGGTCTTAGGGAAAGCTTTGTTGTCCTATGCAGAGTTAACAACAGTCCTTACCAGAATCGAAGCTGTCATTAACACCCGACCCCTCACAACAGCAAGTGATGATGTCAGGGATCCTACACCCATAATGCCCGCTCATCTTGCTCTTGGAAGATCACTGTTTGACCTTTCTGACCTTAAAGAGGTCCCTGTTAATGAAGACACAACAAGGCAACGTTACCTGTACCAACAGAGGCTCGTTAATCACTTCTGGAAACGATGGCGAGGAGAGTGTCTACATCAGCTATCCATTCAACCTAAATGGAACGAAGAGCAACCAGCCCTTAGTGTTGGAGATGTAGTCCTGATCTCCGAGGACAACGTATCAAGGGGAAAGTGGCAAATGGGACGAGTTGAGACATTGTTTCCTGGAAAGGATGGCCTTGTATGCACTGTTGAATTGAAGACACAGAAAGGAAACCTATGCAGAGCCATTCAAAGGCTACATCAACTGAAAGTGAGTAATCATTCCCTTAGCACAGAATGTTATGATGGAGAAGCTCACGGTGGGGAGTCAAAGAGCAAGGTTAAAGAGAGTACAGGGAAGAAGAGATCTTCACAAGCCGTAAGGAGTCCAAATGCAAATCTCCGACAGCGTCGGAAAGGTGGGTAGGATGTTGAGGCCCGAACCCACAGTGGAAGAGTCATACGAGCTCCTAAGAGACTGGACATATAACTTTGCCACCCCTCCCCGGGCATTGTTGAGTTATTGTTGTAATATTATATTATGGTATGTCTTACGTGTTGAAAAACACGTGTGATCACAAGTCAAAGATTTGATTGTAGGCTATTTCGAGTTGTCCATTGAGAGTAAGCAAGTGAATCTTTCATTGATATGACGAAACAAAGACAATACATATTAAACTGAACACCAATATTTCAATTTTAATTTTTTAAGAGAATATTATGATACCATTAAGAAAAATTTTTAGGTAGAGTTAATACAGTGTCCCCAATTAGTCCACATGGGCTAAATACATTGACACTTAAATTAAGTTCTTAGTTACTTACTTAGCTGACTGAGGCACCATTGTGTTTGGTTCCTGGGTAGACATCATCAGCAATCGCCGCCCCAGACTCCCTAAAATGCAGTCACGCAACACTTCAAGTGCGACTTTTAATGGGCGTAGAAAATCAAGGATTCAACCAAATTCAAAAATTGTTTTGCCCAAAATGCTTTGAATAACAAGTGGATTCGTTATAGCAAGAAAATTTTTCGGGTTAGGTGCACTTTAAGTAACACTGCCAAGGCAATAAATTGTGTTACTCAAAAACATGAAGTTAAAGTGATTCAAAATACAAAATTTCCACCAAATCATGGAATTTAAGGGTCGCGAAATATGTGCACCTCAAAATCACAAAATAAATGTGTTGCTAAAATCTAATGTAATAAGGTGTACTTGGCTGGTGTACAATAGAGATGGCAATATGACTTAAAGGGTAACGGAAAACAAATTGTTTTTGGATGATTTTGTATTATTGTTCAGAACTAAATCTAAAAGGTAAATAATACCACCACATTTTCAAATGCTCCGGCCCACGCCCCACCCTGTACTTTTTGAGAAGTCCCTAACCATAATCTGATGCATCACTCGACCCCCAAAGGGAAAGGGGCATGCGATGAGGAAATAGATCTAGAGGTATCAGTCGGCAGCATATTCCTGTTTTAGTTTATTGAAGAAATTAATAGTTTTTTGGCTCATTACTATACATGACCAGTATGTTTGAGGAACAATATCCTGTTTTTCAGATGACTCCATCTACAGAGGAGAAGTACAAGCAGATGACGCCTCTTAAAAGAGATGCTTTTCATTTGGGTAGTTCCACTGTTAATAATATTTACTAAAAAACATAACTTTGCAATGCCCAACAAACAAAAAACAGCCCAACCAACTAGCTAATTGAATTCTTGGAGGCCTAAC